GAGATCCCCTCCTTGCCACCCTCCACTCCACCCTCCACTCCCACCTACAAGAAGTCCCTCCGCCTTTCCTCCGATCAGATTGTAAGTGTGGGTTGTCTGTGTGGAGGTTGGGGAGGGGCTGAGCTAATTCTGTCTAAGAGTCCCTCAGGACCTGGCTGAGAAATGGCTCCAGGGAGCCACACGTTCACCAAAGGCCAGAATCTATCCCCTTGGGAGCCTCCCTGATGGCCTCCACTCGAATACTTCCAAGGGCGAGCGCTCACTTCTTCACATGCCAGCCCATATGTCTGTCAGACACTGGGAAAGCTGTCTCTTAGGTCCTCCTGAGATATCAACCTGTAGTGAACCAGTAGGCTCTGGGTCAGCCCTTGGAAGCAACGCTGAAAAGAATCAAATGCTGATGACGGTCCCTCAGATTCTGGCAACTCTCGGCCCCAAGTCATATCTTCTCTAAGCTCAGTAACTGGTGGCTCCTGGAATAAGAATATATTTTCTTCATGGGTGTGGCTCCATGGTCAGAGAGGTGTCCAGGAGGAGCTCACCAGCCAGTACAAAGCAGCTGCCATCTGTCTGGTACCCTGGAGCTCACACTGAACTCAGGGCTTTGGTGGGGAACGGCCCTGATCCTTCTCTATGGACCAAGTACAGGGTTACACCTCTTCTTAGGGCAATGTTGACTCAGGTATCCTGGCCCCAGGGAGGGGCTTCCTATGGAGATCCCCACAGGACCCCCATCTATGGAGGGGGGGTGTCTCCCTGCCAACAGCAGCCCCAGCCTTGGGCCTGGGAATCCTGGGCAGGGAGTCATGGATGTGGCTTTGTCTGTGAGTTACACTTCAAAGGGGAGTGAATGGAGGCTAGGGCTCCTGTGGCCTGCACTGGACAGAGCCCTGATCAGCATGGCCACCCTCTGCCCACATGGATGTGTGTCTGTGCGTGGCTATCTCTGATGAATTCAAGAAGGGTCTCTGAGCTGGGAGGAAGAGGAGAATGAGAGGCCCGAAGGGATTGGAGACCATGGCAGAAGGGGAGAGGTAGGCAGTGCCTGGCTGTCGTTGATCACAACACACCCCCCTTTGGCCTCAGCGGCGCCTGAACCTGCAAGAAGGTGCCAATGATGTGGTGTTCAGTGTGACCACTCAGTACCAGGGCACCTGCCGCTGCAAGGCCACCATCTACCTGTGGAAATGGGACGACAAGGTGGTCATCTCTGACATCGACGGCACCATCACCAAGTGAGGCTCAGCTGGCTGTGGGAAGGGGAGGGAGAGAGGGGTTATGGACTCGCCTCCCTCTGTGCTGGGTGTGGTGGGGACAGTGAGAGGAGCCCTCCCTTCCTGGTGGGGCATCCTGGGGCTGGAGCTGGGCCACATGGAGCTGCCTTGGAGTGACCCTTCCTCTCTGGCTGTAGGTCGGACGCTCTGGGTCATATCCTGCCCCAGCTGGGGAAAGACTGGACACACCAGGGCATCACCAGTCTCTATCACAAAATCCACCTGTGAGTGCCTGGGCTGGGGCTGGGGCTGGGGCTGAGGCAAGGCCCCTAGCTCTAGAGAGGGAGTGACAGGACAGGACATCTTGGGGACCAGCAGGGACCACAAGGGAGGCCACCAGGGCAGGTGCCTCGGGTGCTGAGACCTCTCTATTGGCCCGCAGTTCTGTGAAAGGCTCATCCCCTGGGGCTGTGTTCTAGGATCAGGGCCACCTACTGGCCTGAGGCCGGAGGGGAGGCCCTCTCCATCCTGGTCCACCCAGGCCTCAGGAATCTGCACCATCCAGCTGAGTCCACTGCTGAGGCCTGGCTGTTCTCCCCAAGTCCTCTCCCTGCATAGGTTGGAACATCAGAGCCCCACAGTTCGGCTGGGCAGGCTGAAGCCAAGGAAACAGATGGGGGCTGGCTGGTCTCTGATGGCTCTATGCCACCCTGTTCCCCACTCTCAGAAATGGGTACAAGTTCCTGTACTGCTCGGCGCGGGCCATTGGCATGGCAGACCTCACCAAGGGGTACCTGCAGTGGGTGAGCGAGGGGGGCTGTAGCCTCCCCAAGGGCCCCATCCTTCTGTCTCCCAGCAGCCTCTTCTCTGCCCTCCACAGGTAACCACCCCCACACGTACAAGCCCATGGTCCCCTGGTGGGGAGAGGCAGGCCCACTGCCAGGCCAGCCTTAGCAGGCTGGCATTAAGCTCTCAGGTGGCAAGGAGGGTGGGGTCAGACCCCCCATCCCCTGAGCCTGCCATCCCCTCTGGGTTCTTCCCTACTTTGACCCCCTTCCCTGCTGTGGTTCTGGCCACCCCAGAGAGGTGATTGAGAAGAAACCAGAGGTGTTCAAGGTCGCCTGCCTGAGTGACATCCAGCAGCTGTTTCTGCCCCATAGACAGCCCTTCTATGCTGCCTTTGGGAACAGGCCCAATGTGAGTGTGTCCCCTCCCCTCTGCTGCGCCATCTCTCCCCAGCTGCCTGCAGGCCTCTGTTCCATGGGCCCCTCCTGTCTCCCACAGGATGTCTTTGCCTACCGGCAGGTGGGCCTACCTGAGTCACGCATCTTCACAGTCAACCCCCGGGGCGAGCTCATCCAGGAGCTCATGAAGAACCACAAGTCCACGTGAGGCCAAACCCTGCCACGTGTTCCCCATGCCCTGCCACATCCCCCTGCCCCAGATTCTTCCTGGGCCCCAATTTCACCTCTCACCAGGGATTCTGTCCCTTACTCTGGGCTCCCATGGCCGAGGCCGTGGTTTGGTGGCAGCTCAGGCTCAGTGCTGGCCCCCTTCTGCCTGTAGGTATGAGCGGCTTGGTGAGGTGGTTGAGTTCCTCTTCCCACCTGTGGCCCGTGGCCCCAGCACAGACCTGGCCAACCCTGAATACAGTAACTTCTGCTACTGGCGGGAGCCACTGCCCACTGTGGACCTTGATACCCTGGACTGAACCTGCCCTGGCTTCTCCTCCCTGGCCCGGCCCAGAACTGACTAGGTGTACCGGGGTATAGGAGGGTGGGAGCTGGAGTGCCACGGGGCAAACCCACTGAAGGGGAAGAAGGGGGCTGCAGGTTGGTTGGAGCTAGAGAGACTCCCCCATCTTCCCCGTCCTGTTTTTGCCAGCTAAGCTGCAGATGCTCCAGGTGTCAGTGTGGCACTGGCCTGGGGCAATTACTTTGTCATCTGGGCCCTTGCAGGGTCCGGTTTTTTTTTTTTTTTTTTTTCTGAGACAGGGTCTTGCTCTGTTGCCCAGGCTGGAGTGCAGTGGCATGATCTTGGCTCACTGCAACTTCCGCCTCCCAGGTTCAAGCGATTCACCTGCCTCAGCCTCCCAAGTAGCTGGGATTACAGGCATGTACCACCACGCCTGGCTAATTTTTGTGATTTTAGTAGAGATGGGTTTTCACCATGTTGGCCAGGCTGATCTCGAACTCCTGACCTCAAGTGATCTGCCCACCTTGGCCTCCCAAAGTGCTGGGATTACAGGCATGAGCTACCACGCCTGGCCTCCTTGCAGGGTTCTCTATGCCCTTGATATCTCTCTCCCTGTCGACCTGGGACCTTGCTGTAACTCTTGATAGGACAGGGAGAAGAGGGAGGCCCCACTGAGGCTCGAGGCATCAGTGAAGGGTTGGTGGCAGCAGTGGGAGTGTGGTGCAGCTTCTGGAAGGACATAGTGTTCTCCCCGCCCCTTATCTGGGAGCCAGGACTGTACCCTCTGAAGCCAGACATCACTGCCAACACATCCCCCTTGCTGGTGCCCTGGCATCTCAGCACACGATACACACCCACACCTGCAGGCTGAGAGAGTGTGGCTCTGGCTTGGCCTGCTCCCCGTCCGGCTGCTGCCACTGCCTCTCTCCAGACCTCCCTTAAAGACAGTCCCAAACTCAGCCGGGGCAGGTGGGTGTTGGCTTGACAGTCCTCCCCCAGTCTCTGCTGGCCAGCTTGGTGCTCACAGCTGCTCGGTAAGCTCTTGCCTAAGGAGCTGTAGGAAGCAGGGATGATGCCCCAGCAACCTCTCCTCCCACTGTCTTTGGTGAAGAAAGTAGCTTTAGACTGGCTAAAAGCTTTAATCCAGAGCTGCCCTACTCCGATAGTACCAGAGTGGAGGGCAGAATACCAAATGTCCAGGAACAAAAGGCAGGGCTGTGGGGACCTGAAGAGCAGCACAGCGGGGCCCGTGCTGCTGTGGGGGAAACTGAGGCTGGGAGCCTCAGCAGAGACGGGTGTCAGTGTCTGGGAACTGCATAGGCCTGAGGAACATGCGTTTTCAAGTTGTCCATTGATGGTTTCGTACCTGAATTTCTCACCTTTTGTGAACATCCTGGGAGGGTGGTGGTTTTGCAGGGGTGTTAAAAGCAAGGCCTGGAGCTCCTTTCCTCCAGCTGGGGGCTCCTTCTCAGGGCCTGGCCTCATTCAGGCCACTTTCTAGAGAAATGCCCTGACCTCGCAGGAAGGATTTTCCCACCCCCGAGTGGAAGGAAGAGGACAGTGCGGGCACCAGAGAGCCCTGGAAACATTTTAGGGGAAGGAAAGGAAAAGGATAAATTTGGGGTGGGGGGGTCTCTAAACAGATTGCCTGCATTTCGTTCTTTCCTGGGGTTCTACAGCTGCCTAAGCCCTCACCTTGGGGGAGGATCAAAGGGAATAAAGAGAACTCTTGTCTGAGTCTTTGTGCTTCTGTTCTGTCCTGAAGGACATGTGAGGAGCCAGAAACATCTGGCAGCCTCTGGTCCTTAGTTCAGATACAGCATCCATGAAGCTGCCAGGTGTGAGGACAGTTCCAGTAGGCATCACCTTCCTGCACAAACCTAGTTCTGATGGCTGCAAGGAGAAGCTGAGGGGACAAGGAACAGAAGCCACCAAAGGCTGTGGACTATTGCTTGTGGGCACAGGGCAATGTGGACAGGCCACTGGCTGTGGGCCTGTAGGTCTTTGCACAGTTGCTGACACTGGTGCTGACTGCCTGCAGGGTCCTCTCAACGCCTTACATATGAGCATTGATCAAGGCCAGTTGGCCACAGCAGCTGCCCCTGCCAGCCACGCTCAGGCCCTGCAGCTGGCTGCCCAGATACTGATTTGCAGACAGTGGAATCTCTCAAGTCCACCCTGGCCTTCAAGCACGACATCCTTGCCTTGACCGCTGTCCGGAACTGTCCAGTTTGTGCAGCACTGTGCTTGGGTTTTGGTGGCTGGGATAGCCCTATGGAGCTAGATCAAGACCATTCCCTCAGTGGCCTCTTTAGTGCCATCTGGGCTAGCCAGGGAAGGCTGGAAGGCGCTGCTGGATAAGGCTGGGCTCTGGGGTGATGTTCCCCGAGTTGGTGGGATCTAGGGGTTGGGTCCTGGCCAGCCTGTCTAGTTGGCTTTCCCTGGCCGTGCCTGCTCAGCCAGCTGGGCCTGGCAGTCCAGTAGGTCGTCACGGAGGCGGGCAATGTCCTGTGTGTGCTGGGCCAGCGTACGATTCAGCTGGTCCACATGGCTCCACAGGCCCTCTCTGGACCTCAGTGGCTCAGTGGACAAGCTGTCCAGGCCCGCAGCCAGCAGGCCCAGCCTCCTGCACGCACCCTCCACTTGTGCCACCCGCTGGTCAAAGTGTCCCACTGTGTGCTGAAGTTTCTGGGCTGTGTCCTGGCAGCGGCTCAGCCCACTGGCCACCTTGGCCACACCAGCCTTGAGTTGCTCCAGCTCCCCCCGCAGGTTCAGGACCTGCCTGTGGCCAGCCTGAAGCCTGGAGCCTTGGCTGCTGACCTGCTCCTGGATGGCGTGGACTTCGGCTTCCACCTTGCGTTCCCGCTCATCCAGGGACGTGTTGGCAGCCAAGAAGGCATCAGAGTACTGGCTGACAGAGTCACTGAGGCCCGTGAGCGACTTGCTCACTGAGTTCAGATTGACCTTGAGCAGAGTGATCTCGCCTTGGAGTGAGCTGCCCGTCCCTTCTGCCAGCTGTCCCTGGACCTCAGCCACAGTGCCATTGAGCTGCTGAAGCAGTGCTGCGTGGCTGGCCACCTGGCGTAGGAGGGCCTCGCTTCGGCTCTGCCAGGCCTTCACCTCTGCCACGAGGTTGTCCAGGATGGCTGAGGTGGTGCTCGGGGTGCACGAAGTCTCCAGTGAAACCAACCGTTGCTCCAGCACGGCCAGCTCTGTCTGCACGAGGGGCCGAGCTGACCTGCCTGGAGGGGCGCTGTCACGGCTTAGCTCCCCAGCCAATGTCACTAGGCGCTCCTCGAGGCTCTGCACGCGCTCTTCCAGCATGGTCCCAGAGCCACCTGCTCCCCACCCCCCCATCTCCAACCTCAGACAGCATCCCCTTGCTCCACCCTCTGTCCCATTGAGCATCTCCAGACCCTCAAGCAGCCCGTCCACACCTCCCTCGAGCATGGCAGCAGACAGCCTCGTAAGCTCATCCCTGGCTGGGGCACCGGGGCCCCTTTGGGTCTCGGTGACTGCCTGCAGGGTCCTCTCAAGGCCATCCATACGGGCATTGATCAAGGCTAGTTGGCCACAGCAGCTGCCCCTGCCAGCCACATTCAGGCCCTGCAGCTGGCTGCCCAGCTGTGACAGCTCCTGGCGCAGGGCTAGCTCCCGGCCATCAAGGCTCTGGTGCAGCCTCCGGCTGGCGGCCTGGCCCTCCTCACATTGCTGCCGCACCTCCTGCACCCGCAGGTCGCACTCACTCTGGACGCCTTGCAGCTTCTGCTCGAAGCCATCCAGCAGGCTCCCCCAGAGTCGGTGCAGCCGTCGGTCCACATACTCCTCCAGCAGGGCCAGGGAGGTGAGCGGGGATGGTGGGGCTTCCCGCAGCCGCTGCAGGTGGGCCTCATGGCCGAGTGCCAGCCCATGCACTTTGTCTAGAAGCTGCACCTTGGTCCGAAGAGTGTTGCTCACCTCTGTCACCTTGCTTAGGATCTCGTCCAAGGGAGGTGTTAGCGGCCCTCTGGCTCTGTCTCCTGGGTCCACAAGCCCCTCAGGGATGACCCCAAAGCCCACAGGGGCAGCAGGAGCCCGGGGGCCACCAGTCATCCTATTGGGGTCCTCGTGGCTGGCCACCAGGCCACTGAGGGTACCATATGTTTGGGCCAGGCGCTGGACATCACCCTCCAGGCGTTCCAGCCGCTCACCAAACAGCCCTGGGCCTTTCCTTCCTGGGAAAGAGGAGAAGAGAGCCCCAGGGGCATCACTGGCCTCACGCTCTCAGCTTGTCACACTGCCAGGCCACCCAAGAGACTTTCTGTTCTAAGCCTACCTTCTCATTCAGCATAACTCCCTCAGCTTTATGGTGGGGTGAAGGTGGGGCTTGGGGGTTCCTCCTCCCCATCCATGCCGGAGCTCAGCTAGCCTGGGATCAGTCCCCTCCCTGCCCCTGCCACTGAGCCCAAGAAACCCAGTCACCTTGGAGGGTCTCCTTGGGCAGACTCACCGTGAGGACTGGGGACTGCTCTGCTGTAGGAAGGGGGCCTGGGACCTGGGCCCAGCTGCCCTGAAGGAATCTGAGGCTCAGGCTCCAGCTGGGGTGGGGCAGCCCCATGGTCCGTGAGGTGCTCAGGGCAGCGTTCCCCAGTGAAGCCAGGACAGCATCGCCAGGCGAGTTCTGTCACTGTCTTGTAGCCAACCTTGTATTTGGGTCTGAGTATTGTGCGGTACCTGGGCCAGGGAGAGCAAGACAGCAGGATCCTGCACCTGAGGGCTGTGGTCCTCCCCCTAGCTGGCACTCAGGGCCACCCTCAGACACTTGCATAAGGCTGTGTGTCTCCCCACCCCCATGCCACCCCCAGGGTTTTACTTTTTCTGTGCTTAAGGTGACAGGGGTGGGGTAAGGGCAGGACTTCCTGGAGCTCACAGTCATGTTAGGGAAGGATGCAGGTAGAAGTCCCACCCATCCTGGTAGCTTGGAGAGAAGCAGGAATTTCACCCCATCACTTCCCAAGACCACTTGGACCCCTTCTAGCTCATGCTGCCATGAGAAATTCCACTCAGGCTGCAGTGGCACCTGGGAGAACTCAGACACAGCCCCAGCCCTCCCTGTGGGCAGGGAGGGGCACTGTTCTGGAACTGGCGCTGGCAGTCCCCTCACTGCCCTAGGGCCACTCTTGGCTCCCACCTGCTCCCCTTAGTTCTTTCCACTCCTCTGTAGCTTGCTCCAGGACCTTGGCTCTGGTCAGACAGGCTGGTGGATGGGCACCTCTGATTGTGAGCAGGGAAGGGAAGGTCTGGGTTGCAGGCAGGCTCACGAGGGTCCATGCCCTCACCTGTTCAGCCACATACCTGTTTACCCACTGACACACCGGATAACAGGTTTGTTTCCACACACACATGTGAACCTCTCCAAGTACAGACCTGTGCATCCCACGTGCATGCAGTCCCACAGGTCCTCACGTGCAGCCCTGCTGCTCCGGCTTCCTCTCCCTGCCCCATGGCCTGCCTCCTTGTGGTCACCACGGTCCTCCCTGGGCCTGCCAGGCCCCCCTGTGGCATCACCTATTGCCTAAGGGTGGGTGCTCCCACCTCTCCCCTCACCTTCTGCTTCTGTCACTTCCTCCTAGCCTTGTGCTGCCTCTGCCCCCAGAACCCTCCCCTTGTCCCTCTGTGGTTCCTGGGCTCCAACCCAAGCCTGCCACTGTCTGTGCAGGTGATACTCTGCTGCAAGCCCAAATCCCTGGGATCCTCCCTGGCACCCTCTTTTCTGGGGCCGCCTTCTACTCTGGCCTGTATAGGGGCTCAGGTGGGCTCTCTGGAGTCCAAGAATCCCTTCTGGAATTGGCAGCTGCTCTCGGCTGAAGGCAGGACTGGCGCTTGTGCCAGGGGATTCCAAGGGTGTAGGTGAGGAGTGCACTTACGTGACTGTCCCGGGGCACTTGGGCCCCCATCCACACTGCCGGTATTCAGCCTTTACGTAGCTCTCCGCTCCCTCCTGTAGGATGCAGGTCACGTTCCTGTGCACCACATAGGCACAGAGGGCCCTACAGGAGAAAATGGTACCCCTGGAATATCTGGCTGAGCCAGGTCCACGGAGGCTCCTACCCTCCCACCTCCGTCTGTGGGCCTCAGCAGGGCTCCAGACCCCATGTCTCTTCTGTCAGTTCTCTGTGTCCCTGGAAGCCAACGCCCTTGGTCTGGGGTCCAGCCCCACTGCTGTTCTCTGATTCCAGCCTCCCTGATGGGTGGCCCCTGGGCTAAGCACTATTTGGAACCAGGAGTCTGATGTGGCTGCCCCTCCCTGCATGGGGAGGAAGCCAGCCCGGATTCTCCCTCAAGTGCCCTGCCACACCCCCATCCTTCGCTGATTCCAAACTCCTTATCTTGGCATTCAAGGCTCCTGAGTCCCCACTCGGTGACTCCTTTGAGAGCACCATGTCTTGTCCTTCCTCCCCTGCCTGGCTCCCAGAGAAATCCACCTCTCCTTGTAGTTTTGCAGCCCTTGCCTTTGGTCCTGTTCCCTCACTCTCAGAGCAGTTATTGTACCACCTCCTCTAGGAGGTTCGCTCTGATGTACCCAGGCCCACTGAGTGTCGGTACTCTTCCTCCTACAACAGCGCTCAAATTCAGCTAGAATTCAAGTTCAGCCAGCACCCCAGGCAGAGCCTCCAGCCCACTTAACTGAGGCCAGTTTGCAAGCCACTGCCCACGAAACACCAGAAGCTGAGGCGGGGGCAGCAGGCTCTTTGATGAGCCACAAGGGCTGAGGAGGTGGCTGCCTGGCATAAGCCGACCACTGTGGACGGCTATGCTACAGCACGGGCCCGGAGCCAGGAGCCCGCACTGG